TTTCAAGTGGCTTAGAATTACGGTTTATTTTTTAGAAGTTTTTTTCCGAAGGTGTTGCGGTTTTCTTTCATATAAAAATAAATTGTGCTTATTCGTTATATGGAAGCAAACGCGACAAAAAAAATTCTAAAAAAAAATCTACGGTGATTTTTAGCCACATGAAACTTGAATGTTATTGTACCAAAATTGAATGGGCTATAATACTGTGTACTCCAAAAAAAAAATCTAACACTTCTGAGAAATTGGATGCCAATTTGTTGAATTTTTTTGTAGTCTTTCACAAAGTGTTAAACTACTTGGGTTTATAAGGGTTGTTAGAGAACGAACTGTATTTTAATTGAAAATTCTTAAAAACTAATAATTAAACATAAATGGCAACAATATCACTTTGAAATGGGGGTGCTATAGATATGACCAATACTGTATGTATGAAAGTAATTAATGTGAATATGCTTGCGCCTATAAACTTCGTACTTGTATGTACATATGTAATGTATCTTTTACATACTATAGAAAAGTAAAAAGTTTGCTCCTACGCCGAAGTAAAAGTATTAATTAAAAATTATAATTTAAACTTTATCTTAAAAGCTCTTGTTGGTCGGAACAATTACATGTCAGTTCTACATGCATATGTGTGTGCATATCGTCACCTGAAATGCAAAATAACGTAACAACATCGTCACTGAAATGCAAAAAGTCGTAACTTATAAAAAATTTAAAATTCATTTTTTGATTGCTATGATGGATTTCATCGAATTGCAACTCCCCACATCGTTTTATGAAAAAAAGTCACGACTTTTCCCATTTCCGTGACGATGTTGTTACGTTATTTTGCATTTCAGGTGACGATATGTACATAAGTGTGTATGTGTGTACATACATCTGTACTTAAACATTTGCTCTCAGGCATAAAAATAACAACTCCATTTTTGAGCAAATCATTTAAAATATGTATGTACGTAATTGATCAATAAATCAAAGAGCTAGCAGACACCATAAATATATATATTTTTTTTTTAACTGAAAAGCGTTCGAAAGCCTCAAAATTTGTGGGAAATATCCCTCGACTTCCAGGTTTTACGAACTTAATGGCATTGGCCTAAAATTTATTATTTATTTCATATTAAATCTGCAGTACAAAGTACCTTACAGACTAGCAAAAAATTAACAATAAATGCTTATTGAATAATCGAATTTAAAATCCTCACAAAAGCAGATCCAGATAGTGAAAAGTCAAGAACTTAGATTAATTAGCAACAGGTGTGAATGGTAGGATGGAACGGGATCCTCGAAACCGCAATGATCTCAATGCATGTTTTAGACAAATTTTTTTAACCCTTTCAATCCTATTTACAGAATGTTGTTCATATGGTCTCCAGATAATTACCGCGTGTTCTAAGTGAGCGTATGAGAGACGAAAAAAGAAGCGTAAAGGTGTAATGATCAGAAAACTCAGACGTACATATTACGTCATATAAAACTCAGTACTGAGTATGCTTTGGAAAGAATAAAATTAATGTAGCTATTAAATGAAAACTTTGCTCAAAAACTGGTCCAAAATCTTTAGTCTCTGTAACCTTGCTTAGGACAAAGTTAGCAATTGAGTATAACTACGTAGATTTTATTGTAACTTCAATTTTATCTTTGCTGCAAATTTTCTACATTTACCTTGTGTAGGTGTTCGAACAACGTGGTTCTGCATAGACTGATACAACAGTAACAAATAAGTTGAATACAAGTACATATGTTTATACATACGTATATAGATAGGTGCATATCGCACACCGTCTTCAAAAGAGTCACAACTTAAAAATCTGATCCGGAAATATAACTGCTTGTGGACGGTTCAGATTCAACGTAATCGATATAAAACAGGTATAACAGTAGTTTTTAAGTTTTATTTATACTTATGTACATGAAGAAAAAATAACTGCATTAATTGGTGATACGAATAGATTTATGCGAAAAAATTTGCCAACATTTTTTTTTTTTTGAGTTGTGCCTCTTTTGAAGTGGGTGCGCGAAATGTGTGTAGATATGTACATAGTAAGTAATTAAAAATAGTAGTGTAGGTTTATACATATGTATGTATATATATCATTACGTATACAAAAGCATGTACAGAAGTTTATTTAAAATTTTTAATTTCCTATGTATGTAAGTACTTTTGTTACCCCAAGTTATTTATTTTCTTTTCTAACTAACTACGTAACTACAAGTGAAAAAATATAATAGTTGTTCCTATACACGTAGTCTATCAAGCTATTTTGAAAACATTTAGTTTGTAGAAGTTGGAATGTTTATTTAACTTCCGCTCTACGTTAAGTACAGGTAAACAAATGAAGTATGAAAAAATATTTATATTAGATGAACCTGAAAACAAACGTTCCTCAATAAGCAGCAGCCTTAGGTAATACAAAATTTCAAGGCTCAAAAACAGCTTAAAAAACAAAATTGAACGTGAATAAACCAATATAAGGCCTATAGAAATAGAGTTTGTTGTTGTAAAAGTATGTATAATTCGCCAAAACTGTTTCGTAGAATGTTCCTGAAATGACAGTAGTTGGCCAGATATAAAATCTTGGTCGTTCAGATTGCGTACACCCAACTTATGCGGGAACGAGAAAAAGAGGTTAGAAGTAGTCTTATAGGTAAAGTAATTTATCACAGTTTGCTTAAGTCTCTCTTATCAAATGCGAGACATTGGCTGATAAGCTTATTTTTGCACAGAGCGTGCCTACAAATGGCTAAAATAATTATTTCTTAATTTGCTATATTAGCAATTATGAATATGCACAGAGTTTATATACATATGTATATAAATCAGAGTATGCAAAGTGGCCTAAAAATGTTTAATTTTTATGAAAAAAAACGAAAAACGCTGAATGCTGCTCAAGGGATTTTCGTATTAGGTCAATACCAAAACGGTTACTTGACTGCCATGCAACCAAAGTAAAAACACATATTGCTTTCATTATTAAATTACTGCAAAACACTTTATTATAATATCATGTTTTTGAAAAATTTACAAAATCACACATAATCATTTGTATGGTATTATTAAAGTAAATCGTTTTTTTTTTATAATATTATATTATTTTCCCTTAAATCAATAGCAAAGTTACATACCTACATTACTCATAGATGAGCTAGTGACTATGACACTTTTGTTGCATGCATATTTTTATACACCTACAACTTATTCAAAACTAAACTGCTTACCTACTCGAAATTGGAACATAAAAATTCACATATGTACGATCATATAACTATGGCTTTGGCAATTTTTTAAAAACTAAATTCAATATATGTACATACAGTTGCGTACATGACTACGAGTACATATGCGTGTACGAAATATTGTAAAAATAGGCATGCATCTAATGCCTTGTCTTAATTTAGTATTTTGATTTATTTCACTCTTACTTCACTTATAGAATTCACTGATTCATGATTTTTTAGAAATAACTACGCCACTACGCTAATATCTACATACAAGTACATTTTTTGTTAGCATACTACACAGCTACTCCTCTAGTGGTTGGTATCAACAGTTCCTTATCAGGTGCTTGCTTCCGTCTGAATGTAATATACGTGTAAAGTAAACTAGCAAACACGCTGATATTAATTCCGATACAGTTAAGCCACGAGAAGATGTAGTCACCGCCAATGAACATGCCTAAATATGTTACACATATGTTTTTTAAGCATCCGACAATTGTTGTTGTTAGCGCAGAATTATGTTGTGTGCAAAGTATAGTGCTGTAGGATAATATGAAGCCCATGAAGCAGCTCATTAGAAATTGTACCACAAAATAGGGATTTTGCCATTGGTTGTAGGCGAGCGATTTTTCAAGGTCACCAGTAAGATAAGTAACGACCAGTGCCGGTATGAACATAAATAGTGAATTGTAGAACATTAAGCCATATTTTCCTATTTCTGAAGTATCCAGCTTTTTCTTGACAAATACTCCATTCGATGCAGTAAGTGCATTGGTTATCATCACAAATGTATAACCTTTCATGTTAAATGAAAGATCATCGGAAGCTGCCAGTAAGGCACCAGCAATCATGGCGTATACGCTGACTTGCACAGCGAAGGAGGGCCTTACTCCAAGTATTTTCAATTCTAGTAACATCGTCATTAATATTGAAAAGCGACGCAGTGCGGCGAACATGGGTAAGCTTAGTTCCTTTGTGCCACCTAAGCCAAACATCATGTTTCCGAGAAAAATCAGTGGTAGTGGGAAAATTTTTATAAATGTATTCCGCTTTAATGGTGGATATGAAACGAAACGTAATCGTCGGCCAACGCCAAGCACAACTATACTGGCCGACAACTGTCCCAAGCTGAGAAACAGGAACGAAGGAAAGAGATATGATGTAAGCACAGTCTTGTTGACAACGGTTATCATGAATGAGGCCATGCCATAGAACAAAGCACTGCCGACTTTCTTGAAGAACAACGTGCCATCATCATGCTGACGCTGCTCCTTTGAATTGAGGCTTGTTGTGCTATCATCGCTTCTGCTGTTCGATAGCTCAATTGCAATACTTTTGTCCTCACTGCTGTGTGAGGCCATCGTAAGGAGGATTCAGTGTGAAAGTTAGTTGCTTTGTGCAATATTGCTGTAATTACTATTGGAATACAGGTTGTTTTTTCACACTAACTTTCACTTACTACCCGATTAAGGCTTTGAAACTATAACATGACTCTCCGTTTAATATACCAGCATTCTTGATAAACAAATGTATTCACTTTTTCTGGCGTTATAATTTAGATAAGCAATTTAACTACACAGCCACTAAAAAACACGTAAATAGCCATTTTGACAGTCGCGATCTGACTGAATTCACAGCTGACAGCGAATGCTGATAGAAGCTGTCACAAAAGTTGAAGCAACAAGAAAAACAAACAAAAGTAATACAAACAAGGCCGAAATTATAACAAACAAACAATGCTAACTTATATAAATAAAACGAAGTAAAGACTAACTTACCGAATATTAATTTTTAATTATCAATTTCGCTTGTAGTAAAAACGATAAACTTTTAAAACAAATTAGCACTAGTTGACAAATCACATCGAGCACGGATCAGCTGTTTTACAAGTACAGAGTTGTTAAACAGACTTGCATAGAG